TTTGCTACACCACAATTTAATATTGAATTAAAAGATACCTAAAACACAATATAATCTTATATCAACTCTACTAATACTTCACTTTCATTGACATTTCTTTGATAACAACTCGTGTATCTATTTTTCAGTCATGTACTGCGCCCATGACTTTTAAATAATCGATTTGTTTATCAGTTCGACAACAGCAATTCAAAGCTCTTCTCATGGCCAACGATTAATTCGTCAGCCAAAATAAAAATAGGCATATACCAGGAGGCAATCATATGATGATTACTAGATTGTACATTTATAGTAACGGTACTTTTTTTAAACTAATATAAATAATATACTACCCTTATGTAGGTGTAAGGTCTAGACATTTGGATACTTAATAATAATACCTACTGCAACCTTATTGTTTTGCAAATCGAAGGTATAGTAACTTTCTAAAATAGACTTGATGACATTGCATAAGTCCATCGTGACTGTTCAAGTTTTTGCAATTATTCATACCGCATGTGACATGAAGATTCCATTTCTTGTACTAACAGGAAATAGTTGAAACTGTTGTTTCAGTTATTGCCACCGTGTAATCAATTGCCTAATGTATAAAAATAATTCAAGTACGACGTTCCCCACCACAACAAAAAGCAATTTTTTAGGTCAGTTGTTTTTCGATCCGCGATCTAATCCCAATACACCTGACCCTTCGATATATTTTTAAAAACCTTTGTGCTACTGACACCCAGTTTAATGTAACAGTGTATTTTTTGGTTATTTTCGAGGAAAATAAAAATCCATCAAGATGCCTCTGAATTGTATGATACAGCTGTGCAAAATCACCAGAGCTAGCAAGTTATTCCAACGCAACTTTTATCTCCCTTTACTGAAACCGTTGTCTCCAAAGGACGCCCTTCGAAGGCATATCATTACTGGAAAAAATGTACTTAATAGGATTGAGCACTATATACCTGTCCTGGAGGAATATCAATCAAGAATAATTAGACGAAAGTATAGGCGGAGAGGTGTGGGAAAGAAACGTCAAAGAAAGAATCCTAGAAGAAAGTACGTTATGCCCTTTTTCGATGATGACATGGAAGGCCATTTAAGGTTAAAAGCAATACTTTCTACCAAGTCAAAAGGCAGAGGTCAATGCTACACGTATGCTGTCTCTGATAAAAAGTGTACCCTGGTGTTATCTCATCAAATGGAAAGAGCGATAAGAGACAAAGACATAATCGATGTTATCATGGCTCAGCGAACCGAGAAAATCGTAATTATTCTAAAAGATGGCTCAAAAATTACATTGCCTCTTGTAACTTACGACGGCAGTGCGCCCTTTTATAGAGGTGAAGGATGGACCCGAAAAGAAATAGAGGACACTCACCACCATGGCAGAGATACAATGTCGGTGGCTAAGTTGTTTGAGGCCAAGGAGTCTGGAGTTGAGGAATGGGAGTTGGAGATGATGCGTATGGCAGCAAAGAGAAGGAAGAGGCACAGAGGCGAAGGAACCGAAGACTGGAAGGCTATGATGGCAGCTACTGCCGAAACCATGGACTGGGACAAGTTCGAAGAAGAGACGAGACAAATTGTAGAAGAATCTAGGCAACCCGTAGACGACAAACCTATACCAATGGCGGTGGACAGCATGGACAAGACAACAAATGTTAATGAGAAGCTGAAAAACGCAGGACAAGAAATAATGTCAATGTTACCAGTAATGCCAGAAATTCCCGAAATTATAAAGGTTATTAAAAACCAAGAGGAAGTTGTCGAAATAGCAAAGGTTTCCGGCGTGACAGTAAATTTGCCCTCGACCGACAAATATCGTTTTGTTCCCGGACAAATTGTGCAATCCGAAGAAGGGGACTTGTTTGTCCCCGGCCAAACGATAGTAAACGAACAAGGGGAATCAGAATACACCCCTGGATTTACGGTGTTGTTAGATAACGAGCCCACTCTAATTCCGGGACTGGTTATGGGCGACGAGCCAGAGAAGCCGATGTTCTTGCCAGGAGACTCGACTATCACGGAATCGGGAGAGCTGCAGTTTACTGCCACAGAAGACGATATCTTACCGCAACAGGAGCCAATTGAGGAGCCAGAAGAGGTACAAGAAACGGAAGAGGTTGAGTTAGAGGAGGAGCAAAACACCGAAGACGAAAAGGAGGAAATAGGCCCGCCCCAACCTCCACCGCCTCCTAGGCGAATAAAGAGGAAGGAGTTCGTTTACGAGAGACCAAAGCGGCAGTACACAGAAAATATGGGTCCTAAACACCGCGAGCGTAAACCAAAAAAGGCACCGAAAGCAGAAAAAAAACCGTTGAGAGCTGATTTGGTCATAGACTGGGACGCCGAACCAAAGAAACCTACAGGACCGGTGTTTTATGATCTTTCCCGTCCGTTGTTAGAAAAAGATTTACTGCTGCAACAGAAAGAGCGTGTTTCAGTGTTCAACAAAAAAAGGTCTGAAGTAGAACTTTCCGTTAATAGGTTAAGGAGGGAAATCAGGCTGAAAATCAAACAGCTAGCCGATAGTAATCCGCCAAAAGTGGAATACGAGCCTCTGCCGCCAGTGAAAAAAAGTGAGAAGCTGAAAGAAATAGAACATAGCATCAAAAGAGGTACATTCTTCGACGTTGATCACAAAAAGTATCTGAACAAGGAATACACCTTTCCATATAATTGGTTGGAACCGTACGAGTACGGAAGTGTATTTGATACAGTGGGGATCACGCGTCACCGTGTATGGAAGTCGGTCGTGTAGTGGCAACGAACCAATTAGGCCAGTCCATCGGCTATTTTGATATCGGTTATCGGGCCGGGCATCGATTAAGATTAGAACTCATCCGCATTGTCAACCTTTATACGCATTCGTTTGCATCTAGTTCATTATCGCTGCTCAGCTCGTCACACACACCGAAGACTTTCTATTTCGAGTAGTATTCAGTAGTTTTTTTTTTAATTTTGAACTGTGTTTCATTGGACCTTATCCGACATGCCAATTAACGTTAAAATATCTCTCTGTAAGATCACACGCGCCAGCAAGCTTTTCCAGAGAAATTACTACCTTCCTTTATTAAAGCCTCTCTCTCCTAAGGACGCTTTACGTCGGAAAATTATTACCGGGCAAAATGTACTCGGAAGTAGAATCGAACATTACATCCCCGTCCTCAAACCACACGAAGAAAAGGTAGCCGAAAGAAGAAGAAGACGCAAAGGGGTGCCGATTATTAAAAGACGCGTAAGAAAACATGAGAAAGAACGCTACGTTGAACCTTTCTTCGACGAGCACATGGAACACCACCCCTTACTACAGTCTATAATTTCGAGCAAGAAACCAAAAAGCAAGAATCAACATTACATATATGAAATATATGACAAAAATTGCACGTTGGTAATAAACTCCCAAATGGAACAGGCCATCAGAGACAAAGATATAATAGATGTAATTATGGCACAGAGAAGTGAAAAAATTGTAGTTAAATTAAAAAACGGCGTCCGGGTAACGATGCCTCTTGCTCCATTTAACGATAACGTACCTCTATACAGAGGAAGCGGATGGACTAAAGAAGTGATTGACCAAGAACATCACCACGGCAAGGAAACGATGTCGATAGCTAAATTATTTGAGGCCAAGGAACAAGGTGTTGAAGATTGGGAGTTGGAGATGATGCGATTGGCAAATAAAAGAAGAAGAAAATGTAAGGGTGAGGACTCTGTTGACTGGAAGCAAATGTTGCAGGGATGTCTGGAAGATATGGACTGGAATAAATTTGAAGAGGAAACGAAGCAAATAGTCGAAGAGAAGGAAGAAATTGTTGTGGAAGAGGATATTCCTATGGAGGTAAACGACATGGAAAAGACAACAAACGTAGGAAACAAGCTCAAGGAGGGAGGTGAAGAGGTTTTGTGTCAACTACCAACAATGAAGGAAATTCCCGAAGTCATTAAAAGTTTGGAATCGGGAGAAATGTGCGAGCTTCAAAACGTATCTGGATTGAAGGTGAATATAGAGGGCGGAAGGCAATGTTTCGTTACAGGACAAATGGTGAAGACGGATGAGAATGAAGTTTTCGTGCCTGGTCAAACCATCCTAAATGAAGAAGGTCAGTCTGAGTATACGCCGGGCATTACCATTTACATGGACAACGAACCCACCTTGATACCGGGTTTAGTAATGGGAGAAGAGGAAAGCAACGCCATGTTCCTCCCCGGTGACTCAACAATTACCGAAGATGGGCAATTGAAATTCGAAGCCACCGAGGAGGACAGGGTATCACCCCCAACAGAAGAAACGCCAGTACAAAGAAGAAGACGCCGCCGCCTCCCTCCTGTTGTTCCTCCCCCGGAATTTGAGGAGTACGTGCCGAGACGAAAATATCGTTCTCCTTCTCTCAGTCCGCCCCCTCCACCTAAGCCTAGGGCCAAGCCGAAGAACGAGCCAATAGTCATTCGTCGGCGAGTGATCCAAGAACCAACAGACACCGGCAGAAAGGAAAGAGTCAAAAAGAGGCCTCCTCTTGTACTTTCAAACCCCAAGCAACCCAGTCCCCCCAGGGAAGTAGTTATCAGACCGAGAAGGACACCCATGGAGGACCCATTAAAAGTGTTAGAAGAGCAGAGAAGAAAACGGGAAGAGGATGAGAGGAAGCGAATGAAAGATAGAGCCACCGAAAAATTACGTAAGGAGGAATCGAAGGTAGATGCACTGAGATTAGAAATGCGAAAAAAATTGAGAAATTTCAAGATCGAAAAACCACAAGAGTACGTACCCATCGAACCCGTCAAGAAGAGCCAGAAACTGGAGGAATATGAACAGAGCATAAAACAGGGAACCTTCCTCGAGGACGACAAAACAAAGGAAATTATCGAGAAGGCCAAGTGCGCTACGAGATTGTTGAAATACCAGCACATTTTAGGTCCATACGGAAACGACTTCAGTAGCCGATTCTAAGCGAACGCGCGGCGCAGCCAGGACTCAGCTAAGCGTCTCGACGCCGATGCCAGTTCAGTCACAGCGGTACCGTCGGGGTAGTAACTTCTTGCACCGCAACGAGCCGAATCGAAACGAATTTGAACTGTAAATCAAATTTTTTTGTTCAAACTTTTCCTAATACTTGTAAATAGAAAGCGTGGGTGCTCATTTGTCGCTTGTCCCCATTACAGTGTCTAATTTGTACCACGACATTATCACATTAAATGTAAAAGATCAGAACTGTTTTTTTAACATTGTATTCTGTTTGTCGATTGTCCCTAAATAAATCTGATAAAAATTGGTGTCGATTGTTTTTTTAAAAGAACAAAATAAAATAAGGAAAAAACACTATTTCGTAATTCAAAAAGTGACTTTAAAAATAAAATTAATTCAAAATGGTTAATTACGTGTTATCATTCTGTAAAATTACTGGTGCCAGCAAAATTTTTACTAGAAATTTTTATTTGCCACTACTAAAACCGCTGACGCCCAGAGAAGCCCTGCGTACTCTGCGTATCACAGGAAAATGGTTGCTAGGGGCTAAAAGGCAACATTACATCCCAGTCCTGCTAAATCACGAACAGAAGAAACCGAATAATGCAGCAGATTATGGTAAGCAAGAGCATGACATAATGGAAGATTACACGTATATGACCCCCGTTCTAGACCCAGAAAACGAAACCCACAGAATTTTGATAGATATCCTTGAAAGTAAAGATAAAAAAGGGGTATTCGTTTATACAGTGGAGGACAGAAAGTACAATATCGTGCTCCAGGCCCAATTTGAATTGGCTATACGAGATGGTGACATAAGAGACGTCTTAGTATCGCAAAAAAATGATAAAATTATTATGAAATTGAAGGACTTCAAGAAGGTGCCCATGGAAATACAATATTTTGAGGGCACAGACGAATTAACTTGCGGTGAAGGTGCCACCTCTCCGGAGGAGGAAAAATTTCACCACCACGGTAAATATACAATGAGCCTGGCAAAGATATTCGAAGAGAAGGAAATGCGCGAGGAGAAGTGGGAGGAGGAACTCAAAAAAATGATGAAGAGAAGGAAGAAGAGGAAATGGGAAAATTCTAAAGCATACAAGGAGATGATGAAGAGAAACTTGAAAAACCTGAACTGGAAAAAGTTCGAGGAAGACGCTAAAAAAGTGATTGAAGAAATAGAGCATCCCGCTAGTGAAATACCTATAGAAATGGAAGTTGATGACTTGGACGCGACGAAGAATGTGAACGAGACAATTTTAAGACGCGGACCAGAAATGTTAAATCAGTTGCCAACCCTGACAGAAATTCCGGATATAATTAAAAACTTGGGCAGTGCCAGCTTACATGCAATTGAAGATGTTGCTGATGATGAGATGGAACCGAGTGAGCAATCGAAAAAGCGTCGCGTGTCTGGGGTTAAAGTTACCCTACCATCAGGAAAGGAGTGCTTCGTCAGTGGCCAAATGGTCCACACAGAAGACGGAGAGGTATTTGTTCCAGGACAAACTATCCGCAACGAATACGGTGATGAATATGCACCTGGTATCACCATAAACGTAGACGACAAACCCACACTCATAAATGGGTTAATCATGGGGGAGGAAGAGCGCGATCCCATGTTCCTTCCCTCTCAGTCCACCATTACCTCTGATGGACAGCTAACTTTTGCCTCTGTACCAGAAGAAAGGCCAGCACCTCAACCAGAGAGCGAGAGAAAATTAAAAAGGAAAAATAAAAAGAAACAAGAGGCAGAACAAAAAGATGAAGAGACGATAAATATACACGATAGCCCTGCAATATTTGAATTCGTCATTATCGATGACAATTTCGCTTTTGACGATTTTTCCGAATCCGAAGAAAAATCAACTGATGCTTCCAGTGTGGAATTAAATAATTCCGAATTAGAGGAACTAGACATCGAGGCTATTAGGCTAAAACAGGAGCAACAGCGCTTAGAATTAGAAAAGCTTAAGCTAATATTATTAGACGACGGCATGGATGACATAATCGCTAGCCTGGAAGATAAAAAGGCAGAGCTGAATAAAAAACTCGAAGAACTGAGGAAACTAAATATAAACTCCGAGAATAGCCTGGTAACATATGTAAACGAAAGCGATGCACTGGAAATGGCAGCGAGAATAACTGAGGATAAAGACACTATTATTAGAATTTCGGATATACTGCTGACAATGACTCGGAGGGCAGCGACTTTTCGGGATAAAAATAATGTACGCACAGACAATATTAATAACTCTCTCGCAAATGCCGCCGGCTCCGAATCGGAGCGCAAACTTAACGCTTCCTCGAACAAACTGCAGGTACTGTTCAAGACAGCCCTTGTTGCCGCTAATGAAGTATTTAAAAACAGGCCCAAGGACCAAATGATGGCTCTCAACGCCATAGGGGATATTATGATAGATGCCCTTAAGGTCAACAGCAAGTTACTCCAAGAACTAATCGATTTGATGCAAACCCAGTTTGAGAGGACAGAGGTTTGCGATGTAGCCTTTAAACAGCTCACACAGGTCGTAGAGGACACGAAAATAGGCATGTTAACTATGATAGCCAACAAGAATTTGTCCAATTCCGAACTACAAGACTGCATTACCAAAATGTTGGGATCAGAAAATATTATAAACGTTTCCTTCTCAAAATTGATCAAGGTTAAACCAGAGATAATTAAAATACTAAAGGAAAATACAAACTGCCAATTGAAATATGCAAAAACCGAGGAAGATGCTTTTGATATCCTGCAGAAATGTATTGTAAAATCAACCAAAATCTGGATGGACAAGGCCATGGAGGCCAAGAAAGAGGAGACCAAAGGAAATGACCTGGTTGAATTCGTAGAAGAAGCTTCAAGCTTTGCCAAAGCTTTAGGCCTAGAGCAAGTAGTAGAAGACTTGTCAAACAGCAAATTTCCACTAAAGCTGAATTGCTACGACCAAGCAACGACAGACATGCTGAAACGAATGGCTTTAATAAAGCAGCTATCAGAAAGAGATTATTCGTTGAAAACCGCCATAACTCGAATAAAGAAAAACCCAGAACGTGGCAAGTCGGACCCAAGGATCCGCCAGCTGGTAAGGGAAAGTGCCGCATTAATTTGCAACTTGTCCACGATACGAAACTCTCGAGAAATCCCCTTGCAACTGATGAAGAGTCAGAACCTGCTAGCCATAGAAGATTTCCTCCTCAAAAAGGCCAAGTTCGACCATCCGGTCTTGATCACTAGGGGTAGCACGCAGGCGGTGATTCCCAAAGACGCAGCTCGGGGTGTCCTAGCTGGAAGGGTGTCCTACATTCTCATAGACGAGAGCGGTGTGACAAATTTCAAACCGATGCACATGATTTCCGGGATGCAGCTTAACAGAAACCGCGAGAGACGCATAGACGATTACTTGAGTGGGGTTAGAGAGCGGTCTTCAGACAGAGACGAGGCAAGGACCTATCTACAGGCAAAAAATAACGTAAGGAGACTTCAAAACATGTATAATAACCGTAGAGAAGTTGCATGAACTGTAAATGTGAACACTTTTTTTTATAATAAAACTATATGTGTTTAAACACAAAGTCATATTTGACAGACAACCTACGAGAAACATACTTTAAAAAAAGCAGTATACTTGTAGGGAAAGTTATCATCAGATATGACTTTGTGAATACGTGGGTGTTTTTAAAATTGTCACGGATTTAGGATATAAACTGAAATTATATAAAAACGATACAAATGCACACAAACTTTGCCACACATCCACCTCCTACACAATTCTATACAATATTTTTGGACACAAATCAAGGTGAGTCAGCATTTCGCTATAATGTAATAAGTTCCCAGAATATCTTTACTTACCTACCTTAACTTATTAACTTCCAAAATATTATTGTCGACAAGATATATGTAGTTCCCTATGAATTATTTTTGTGCTTGACTAACAGACTGATGCCTAATATTTTGGGGAAAAAGTGGGATTCGGACAGTACCTACAGCTGATTAATGACTTTCCGGAAAATTTAATTATCCCGTGGTAGCAGCAGAGGATTATTTATAGCCCGTCTGAAATGGCGCGTTAATTTTAGGTTGTCGAACTTGCTCGTTAAATAAGAACGCGCTACGGTTCTTGTCATACGAATATATTGACATATGTGCGTCTGTAAATGGGAACATCCAAAGTATCCGTTGCAAGTACAGGGAGTCCCAAAATTATAACGGTCTTTCCAGAAAGTTTTCCAAGAAAATATGATTACGTCTGAAAAACACATTCCTCATATTTGATGCTTGAAAACTTGGTATATCCCACACGTTTGCTAATTTCGATCTTTCGAAAGAGTGGGCAGATGTTTATCTCATAAAGACACAAATTAATGATGGGTACCAAAAAGCGGAAACGAATGATTGTTATTAGGAAAATATTTTCCCTAACTCAAATTTATAAGTTCTAAAATACTATCTCAACAGTTTTGGAACTGACCAAAACGGGTTGGAAAAACATAATTTTGTCAAATACTAAGCTTCTAAGAATCTGAAAAATGTTTGGTGATAATTAAAATAAATTAACGACCTCAAAATAACTCAAAGCTAGTAAGATTATTTATAAAGTAGTTAAATAATAAAATACTTTACGAACAGCAGTGTATACTTACTATTGAATTGAGTTTATAAGAATACGGTGTCAATTGATGTACAGATAATAATAGACATATGTCAAGAACATTCCACGACACGTGTACAAACATGGTCACTACCTGGGGCAGTAAGCCAAAATATTTGCACAGTTATTTCTGAAGGTAGATAATTAATGAAGTCAACAAATTAACTCGGAATGAAAAGTGTCCTTAATTCTTCTAAAGAAGCTGAAGTAGTTTAAGTGATTTAGATAACTAATAAGTGTAAACCAGGTCGACTCAATAAAACATCAAGGGGCTGCTATGTGGCAGAGACAGATAAACAAGTGTAACAAAATTTTATAACGTATAATATTAATATTTAGCGAATCTTTATGGAATAACTTTTATTTAAAAAAACATCACGAGATGTGATAAAGAACATTTTTTAAATATTTCTATACAGGGTATTTCAGAAAACATGGGTCAACGCTCGGGGGCAGATTCATAACCTAAAAACAAGATTATTTTTTCATCAACATGGAACCGATTTCGCTTCGTTCCTTAGCTACAGGGTGTCAAAGTTTTAAAATAAAATTTGTTTTTTTCCAAAAATCTAGATCCACTTGAGAGAATTAAATGAAAGGACAACTAACTATTTACCACTAAATACACATTCCTAGGTATTATCATGTTGAACATGAATTTTAGGCCGCTATTCGACGATTTATAAAACGTCTAAAATTTTCAGTCAAATTGTAAAAAAATTATATTTACACATCATTTTACAATTTGCCTAATCATTTATAAAACGCCTAGGCATTTTATAAAAAAAAACTGCATTTGCTACTAGCCTACGACATGGATATAGCTTTGAGCATATACTATATGAAGGAAGCACCACCCACGTGTTAAAACGCTTAGAGAGAAAGGGCAATCGTTTGGGTACTCGCTGTTTCTCTCTAAATGTTGAGCATACTACAGCTAGAATGCGGAGCAAGTTGCGTTAACCAATCATATGCCTGCGCGAGAGAGAACGGTAATACTCAAACTATCTCGTTCTCCCTCTGTCACTCGTCTACACTGTCGCCGTTCTTCCTCCATGTAGTATATGCTTTAAGACAATATACAGCGTGTCGTCAGGACGAGCAGAAAACCCTCCTAATACACTACTACACTAATTATGTTATATTTTTAATGCATGTATAAATGTAAAAATAAACAAAAAGCTTTACAATCAAAACGTAAAGTGTTTATGTAGTTTTAGAAAATTGTGTTTTTTATACAGGATGATTCATTGAGAATAACAAAACCCGAGTTTGAAAATACTAGAGATTATTGGATCAAACAATATTGATTGTATAAAAGATACAGGGTGCAGAAAATTAAAATTTTATTTTGAAATCTCTCATTACTTTTGAAAGTTTCCTTTCTTTTTGTTTGATTTCGATGCCTACCTGCTTTCCAGATATTTTCTGGAATTATTAGGGTCGGTTTTCTAGCTGCTAAATAAATGTATTTTTCTATTAAATCTACGCCTGTCGAATTTTGTCTTTATTCTACTATATTTTCTAATCTTTAAAATAAAAGCTGTGCGTAGAGTGATGAACCTTACTAAAATAGCCTCATTAAAGGTAAAACCCTGCTGAATTCGTATATAAATATGTCGACCAGTTGCGGAGATACGGTGAGTCATTACCTCTAAGAACCACAGAAATTCGACGCCACTGGATATTCGGAAAACTCGATCACTGCGTTTCTGAAAGAACTCTTTTATGAACTTTTATTTTTAAAACAGATTTATATTACTGTTATTGGATTTTAAACAAGTTTAAAAATATTCTCTCAACAAAGAAGTTTTATTAGAAGTGCAATTTTAAATAAAATAAATTAATGAAAATATAAAAAAAATCATTGATATAGAAATTTTGCATTTTAATTGAGACAAATTTTTTCTTCTAAAAATGTGATTTTAACTACAAAATTCGAACTTCGTGGCGTAGAAATTTCTCAATTTGGGACTATGCCCTTCAACTGGAAAAATTCAAAATTTTTGCGGCAATAATTTTTTCGACAATTTCATATAAAAATTAATTGAATTCAAATTTTGTTCCGTCACTGGTCTTTTCTGTGTGAGATACGCCATTTGACATTTTACTTGATTTTAAAAATTTTCTCAAAGTGGACATAGGACATTACAATATTTTGCACACATACGTAATTTTTCATTCATAGAAACTGTTTTTAATAACATTTTGTGGTATCTCGTACAGAAATGGGATTTTGCTGCCGATTAAAATAATTAGATGTTTAGACAGGGTGTTTCATATGAGAACCGACACAGAGCAGGAGCATATAGGGGTAAAAAATTATTACTTTATTTTATGACGAATTTAATTCTAAAACTTTTCTTACTCCTGTTAGTTTTCAAAAAAACTTTGTCGTTTCCAACAAAAACAGGAATAACTAATAATACATATTGTAGTTGTGTTATTTAAAATCATCGAAAATTCAAAAGTAGGCTATGAATTTAAACGTCAAACTTGACGATCAGGAAAAAAGTTATAGAAATTTTTTAAAATCATCAAAGCTTTCTTTCAGGCATAATTTTATTCTTGGACAAAAATTGAAGTCTACTCTATCCAAATACTACTGATTATTTCTAATGTTGAGTTAAATCGCCATATTTTGGGTTCCCCTACGTGTCCCTGTGTCGGTTCTTATGCGAAACACCCTGTATATTAAATATTTCCAAGGCTTACCGCATTTAACAAATTTAATAAAATCATACTCGATTTTGTATTATAAATAAGCAGAGCAGAATCCCAGAACGCCAGCATTTTTGTCTCTTAACATGTAAGAGTTTTTTCGCCTCTTCTGGGATACGCTTCATGCAAATAAAAAAATATTACAAAATTGTTTCTGTAATATAAAGCTAAATACGTAATTATAAAGACATATGCAGAATGTCAAGACACCTGCTGTGTACGGAAAATAACATATTTTAATTTTGTGGAATTCAACAAAATATTGGAATATTTTAATGAAGATGTTTTCCTACATATTAATGATACCTCAGATTAACATATTTATTAGTGCCATACGTTTCATTTTATTGCTTTTTATTATCTTCTAACTCATAATGTGTATTGACGTCTGTTGACGAATAATTTGAGTTTAGTTCTTTTACGTCTTTCATTGTTTTAATTGAAGTAATGCCATTAAAACTGAAATCATTGAGACTGGACAGGACGGATAAGATGAATCGATTTTGATCCAATCCAGTATGTTTTTCGAAAACATGTTATTGATTGTTCAAAACTGTGTGACATTCTTTCATTTCTTCGCAGGCTTTGGCAATCTTCTTCGAACGAAAATACCCATTCTGTAACGCACAATCGAATTTGAAAGCATGCAAATCGAATCATTAAAGTAATGGCCGTTTAAAATTAAATCGCTAAATAAAGCCTGGGAGCATTGTTGCAGGGGACCTTTTGCCCACATGTTTGTCCAATGAAGCCGCAGCACAAGGCATTTGGCTCCGGGATTCGTCCTCTCCGTTACCTGACATAAATAACCGCCATCTCGCTTATACTCTTACCCTTAATTGTCATTCCTTGCCTAGCCGTTCGACGTCAATATCCAAGTTATTTTTGTTCGGACAACAAAGAACGAACATCCTTGTTTAAGGTTAGACACGTTTGCTTTATTTTAATTTTTCTCAAAATCCACCACAAGTTTGCATTGTCCAAAACGTTCCTTGGTATATGTCGTTTACGTTGCTTTGGTATGAAGTGTAACCTTGGTGTGGACCTGCTATCCTACTGTCGCGAGACCTTGAGTCTAAAGGTTGCAAAATTTTTGT